CCGTGAAAGTTTTTTAGGGCTAAATCTATATCTCAGGAACCACGGAGTCTAGGAAGCTGAAATTTTACAGTAATGACTCCCTTCCCATACTCAACCTTGCCTATTCAAATTCAGCGTTCCCTCGCTGTTGAGTATCATCTACGGCCTCGTGAGAATTTTGGCGGCGAAACTATTGACTGGGGAATCACGGAAAGATATTCACCCTTCAAGGTTTCGAATTCAGCTTTCATGCGCTGGTGTGTGAAACTTTTAACTATTTTCCAATTTTTGAACTATTTTTGCACAGACTAAAGTACAAAGCAATGAAAATCATTAATAGGCAATCGTTCGATGGGTTGAATTGCACAAAACGCATGATCGCACCGGCTAGTCTGATGCGCGTTGCTATTTATTTTTTATTGCTTGCGTTCAATTTCTGAAGTCAACAGGCCGAGCTACGATGATTTTTCAGGAAATTACCTGAACGAGGGAGAAACACACTGAGAAACGTTAAGAAAAGGGCAGACGTATACCTCTTTCCAACTTCCTCCCTCCTCCTTTCTCCGCTCCTCATTCCACCTGTACTTTTGTCACTTCTTTTATCGCTTTTTTTTTAGACTATTTCTCATAAACACACCAGAGTAAGAAGAAAATCATACCAAATTACTTTTCCTCATTTTTTTTCTGCTAAATTGAGTTTTCCACAGTTCCGTTTGTGGTCTTCAAAGACATCAAAGATCATATGCTGCTTAATAAGCAAGCCTTTCCCGAAATAACATACATCCAGAAAACTAGCGTTTAAGCGCCAAGTGTTTTTTTTTTTTTTAAGTGATCAAAGCCTGATGAAAGAGCAGCACCAGTCACTTCGTAGTTCCGGCACAAGTTTGCTGCTTATCCATTGCATCCGGCAGCTGCTGAATGAAATTCGGGATGTCAGAAATAAACATGGACAGCATTTCTGTACTTCAGTGATTTCCTACACTAACTTTGTGCTATAGGTATCGGACGTAATTATAGAGCCATATAATGCAACGCTGTCCGTGCATCAGCTCGTCGAAAATACAGACGAAACGTTCTGCATCGATAACGAAGCGCTCTACGACATTTGTTTGCGAACACTAAAGCTTGCTGGGCCAACCTACGGTGATCTCAATCACCTAGGCCGGTTAAATTCATTTTTTTTTTTTTCAAAAAATCTCGTAAATCGACCCTTTCCTCCCACCCCGCTCATCACTTTTTTGTTGCGTCTTGTTTTGGATACGCAATTGAAAATTTAGGACCTGCTCAAGTTTATTTCAGATGGCTGTTATTTTAAAATTTGAACAGACGCAATAAGAATGAATCGTGGGGAAGGGCTGGACAGGAACGATATGGTAGTTGTGCTTGTGCAGTACGGAGATAACGCGTATTTTTGCAGTGTCGATGACAATGTCCGGAGTGACGACATGCCTTCGATTTCCGGGGCAATTAAATGCCGACTTGCGCAAACTCGCAGTCAATATGATACCTTTTCCGAGACTTCACTTCTTCATGCCTGGTTTCGCTCCATTAACAGCTCGCAATACTGCAGCCTACAGATCACTGAAAATTAATGAGCTCATTCAACAGGTCTGTGAAACAACCTAAGTGAACAATGAATAACTTTCCTGCAATCATTTTCCGTGAGGAAACTGGGCTGTAAGGAATTGCCAGAAAGGTGGAACCATGACATCAGGTATTTCAGCAAAATAGTGGTACCATTCGACATCCGATAGGGTAAGAAGAAGGCTGCTGCATGATCTGATTATTCAAAAGATTACCACAAAGTAATGCGATGAACGAAGCAACGAAGTGATGGTTAAAACGCCAAAACAGTCTGGCAAACACGGGAGATGAAGACCTAATACAAATATCTGAAGGAGAAATTTGGGAATTTTGCGTCGTGGATATTACAAAAAGCGAATTCGCACGCTACTTCTCCAGTGCTCTACTCGTGAATGGGACTCGTGAAAAAAAAACGGGCGAAGCTTGGTTGGCCTTCGAAGAGGTGACGTTGATACACTAAGCAGGTGATGAGTACTAACTGGAGGTATACGATTCAAGAGCGAAAAGCCCGGCATAATTTTGACCAACGTGTGGAAACATCCAGTAGTATCACTAACATGGGATCCATATGGAATTTTGGGCATAGTCTTGGTACTTCTATGATATACTATCGAATCGGTAGCTGAGGTGGGTAACGTCAGAAAAACAGTCAAACTACACCATTATTGCAGTTATTTGATGCGCGAAACATGATGACTGCGTGTGATCCGAGACATGGTCGTTACCTTACCGCAGCAGCAATGTTTCGAGGCCGCCTCTCAATGCATGTGGGTATTGCCTTTTTTCATCCACCCTTTGCCCCTCCACCCCCATCAGCTAGTGCGCAATTCCTCCAGTAATCTAATTATTTTTTTTAAAGGAACTGGAGACGCAAATTTTGAACATTCAAAATAAAAATGCATCGTATTTTGTGGAATGGATTCCAAATAACGTAAAAACAGCGGTTTGCGATATACCTCCACGCGGCATCAAGATCAGTGCAACGTTTCTTGGCAATACAACCGCCATTCAGGAAATATTCATCCGTATCACTGAACAGTTCGAAGGTTAGTCGATCCTCCATTCTTCATTGACTGAACAGTACAGTTGAAAAAAATCATATATGTATTATGAAAAACAATAGCATTTACTTATCTGTAGCGATAAAAAAACTTGTATAACGTGAAAGTGCCACCGATCACTGTTTCTCATGAAACCACTGACTACAGCCAATGCGTCCTGCATAAAGCAGTTTGTGATTGGCTGAGGAGAAATGTAATAAAAGAAGTTTATGGTAGGGAACTCAAAATGAAATCTATGAATTTCTGGAAAAAATGGGTGGGAAGAAAATTTGTCTTAACTCCCAAGAACTTTGTGGTATTCAACCGATGAAAGGGGTTGTGTGGCTTCTGACCACAGCAAGCAAGTATAATGGTCACAAAGTGTATGCTAATTTCTTTGAATAAATCCTTTCCAGCGATGTTTCGACGTCGAGCCTTTTTGCACTGGTACACCGGTGAAGGAATGGACGAAATGGAATTTACAGAGGCCGAGAGTAATATGAATGATTTGATTTCGGAGTATCAACAGTATCAGGATATATCGGCTGATGAGGATTCTGATGAAGCAGCTGGGAACCTTTTGCAGACGGATCATTCCTCGGGGCAACCCCAACAAGAATGAAAGAGACTGCTATCCTAACACGTCATTTCATCCTTTTTCAAAAATTGGAAATCTTTTTTTAAATTTTCAACAAAAGAATTGAAATGCAAATAACGTCACACACCGGTTATGTTCTTTGGTGATAAGCTGCTGCGAACTCATGGTAAACGAAAATGATACAATATACAGTTCTTTTAACTTTGCCAAGATGGGTTCCATGATCTACTCGTAGCAATAATAACGTGTACGTTTAATCATGGGTACCATTAAGATATGTGCATACTGCGAATGCACTGGGATGTGCTAAAGCGGTGAGAAACGAATTCCTGTTGCACCAGTGAATTACAGAATGCATTCCGCGATCAAAGCAACTTTTAGGTGCAGGCAACGCGCCTTTTACCGTTTTCGTTCGTTTTAACGTTTCATCATTTGTCGTTTCCCTTGGAACTGTTTTTGGTCCCCATTTCGTCCTTTGCTCGCTCTGTGATACTACTACTTCTGTTCTTTCTGTTCAGTAAATTGTTATTTTCTTCACTGTTTTGTTGCACTTTTCAAACGGAAGTACATGAGTTAAGTAGTATTCACAACTTGGAACATCATGGACACTCAGTCTGAGTATGCTCTGTTAGTGATGCTAATGAGATGCTGTCACTGACTGAGTGCAGCTTATGCCAGGCCTCTCGATCGCGGACCGCACACCCTCCACTAGGTGCTAATAATACAGTTTAATTGCGAACCATCAAGAATTTATTCGCAAAGAAAAACTGTCATGTAAAGCATAAGTAGCGGACTGCGCAGCTTCTAATTTACGATAAGCCCCACATAAAAGGCTACAGGAAAAGCCTCCAAAATTTTTTTATAAGAAAATGGCTTAGCAGACCATAGGCGGATTCAGGACGGGCTCCTTGGAGAGGGAGGGGCAACAGAGGGTGGGGAAAAGAGTCCCCTCCCGATCCTGGAACCATGCAAAAACTAAGAATAGGGTTATAACACCACTACTTAGAGTTACTTTAGCTTCAAGTTACGTTAAGCTTTAGTTTAATTTTAGCTTTAGACCTGGACTTTTGCAGCACTGATGCCCGAGCCGTCGGGGGAAGACCCATCTCCTCCCTCCTCCCCCTGGATCCGCCTGTGAACCAAACGGTTCGTACATCGAGATCTTCACACGCTCCCTAACGAACATACTTGAAAAAGACATACAGCAACAGCAGCAGCTTTTGTAAAGACTTTTGGGCGCATCTTTACTGTACAACTAATCTCTTGCACTCTGATACCAACCTTTCTGCACTTCGGCACCACCTCCCGCGCCCAACCAAATCACTTTCGCACCTCGACCAACCACTCCCTCCCCCCACCTACTGACCATTCCTCCTGTACTCTCAGACCACTCCTTTGGCTCCACTCTTCTCGCTTCGGTGTACCACCCCGCCCCCAACTGTCAGCCGCGCCTCTCTGCATCGGTAGACTCCTCCCATGCCCGCAGATTATCTCTATCGCACCCATTTCGCACTCTCTTTGCTCAGTCCCACAGCTCTCCCTTGGTCCCATAGCCCCTCCCTCGACCTC